CTGAAATAGTCTATCTCACAGCTCTTTCGAATGTCAATAATAGAGCTAACAGTTTGCGCTTTCTCCTTCTCCAACTCCACAATATACCCCAACATTTTTTTTAATGGTAGCCTGGTCAAAGAAGTTCCAGATTTTGTTTCGGCATCGAACTAGTGAAAATACTTAGTGAATTCGCGGCTATTTTTGACCAAGAATATAAGAATTCACCATCTGACATTGTTTCACGTCTTCTTTCTGGTGTTTTTCAAGCTTGTGCTTGCTTTGGTCAGACCAAACACCATTATGGCTAAAACTGCAGTATGTTAAAAATTGCCTAAAAATCATCTATTCCATGTAAAACGGAATTAGAGTGAAAAGCGAGTACTGAATAAATATATGAGTAAGTACATGACGAAAGACCAGATTTTCTCGGGCGACTGCCAACAATAGCAGTGCTCAATGCCAATCCAGCGTCTGAAAAATACCGCGTCCCGATGGCATTTTTCACGGGCAATTCATTTCACTAAGAATTCAAGCCTAAGGTCGGTGCTTCGCATCCACACGTTAGAAATGAGAACATGACTGATCGACGACCTTTCTTTTGGAGCAAAAGGGCAGTTTCTTCCAAAGTGTTCAGTGCCACGTTTACTCTTCTGATATGTCAGATTTCACACATCCTGGTTCTTCACCCGATCTGCATCGTCATGGATGCATAGGGTTCTTTGTTGGCGGGCTGTGGCTCTTCATCAACTACGGCCAAAGCCAGTCGCAGCACGAGCTGACAATGATCTTAGACGCTCAGTGAGCGATGTGTGCATTGCAGGTGCGCAAACGCTATTCAATCAGAAGCTATTTACATGCTGTTGCAGCATCTTCGAATCAGAGGGTGATCGCGTGCAACGCGAAACTCAATTTTAAGCGATTATGCTCGTACAACTGTGCTCCGGCGTAGAAACCCATATTTTAATGGTCTACTGAAACGAGCCGACAGAGGAAGAGGCACAGAGGGAGGAAGACTCGTCGTCATCGGTTGAGGTTCGAAAATTTGAACCATGTTCAACGGCAGCGATGCTGTCGAACTGCAAGCGATAACATGTTACTCTCCTCTGTCGAACGAAACGAAAACATACATGGCAATTAGCACAACCCTCCAAGCCAGAGGAAAGAATCCTCAGCTATGACACAGGCAACAGGCAAAGGAATAATAGGTAAGAAACACTTAGGTACCATTCAGGCCATTTCTTGCTTTGGCCCCTGACAGCAGAACGTACCATCTCCAACGACTGAACTGTGTACTGAACGATCGCGGACGTACTGCATACACATGATCAAGAGTAGACCGGTCGGCAATCGATAATTGGAAAATTAGTACATAGCGAGGTCTCTCAGAACAGGTCAAAGAAATTAATCTTAGGGCCCACGCCTTCGCAAAGGATCGAAGGTTATGCGCGCTCGTTGGACGCATGTCTACCTGAAATTTAAATACGGAATCATGCACATTACTCACAACCCAATTCGTCGTTCGGAGTCATCGATCGGTCTCAAATGCACGAAATCACTCGCGGGTGCAAAAGAGATTTGCATATGAGTCTAAAATATGTTACTTCGTATATTGGAACGAAGAAAATCGCCCGCCCTCTCGTAAAAGCGGAGCGTATGCCAAGGATTCGGAATGCTAGTGCATTTACGAAAAACATCATAGTTACCTTATGCACTACTGCTTTAAATTTGCATCACTCAAATGTGGTAAGAAATGATTGGCAACCTGAGGTAAATATAAAAGTAATGGTTGCAAATCGGTTTGATATTCATTTGTAAATTGCTGGTGTAAAATGACCCGGAGTGAAATCGCTCGTGTTTGGCACAAGCAAAAATCCATTTCAGCCAACACGCTTCTGCTGCAAATACAATCAGTATTGAAATTGTTTGTTTGGTTAATGCTTGTTAAGATTGTAGAGGAATCACTCGTTGTATGACTGATTCTAATGAACTCACACACAGCGAACTGAGTCCTCCAATAAAGGGTGTAAAGCGAAAGGCAAAAGGCCTAAATTCTGAAGGTTCGTACCACAAGGGTCTAAATCCAGAAGTCCATATTTCCACAGGGTACAATTTAAACTACGCATACAATAGATCATTGGGCTGCGCACTACATAATGATTATTTTCCATTGCGAGAAGCGGAACTCAGAATGAATGGAAATGCATAAGTTAAAATCAACAAGCACAGGGCTAAACATAAAAATTTCTCAACTTTGAGAAATTCAATTCTGTCCTTGAATAATCCCCTAAACTGAATATAGGGATTTATTTCAGCGTTGAATCCTATCTGCAGGTTGAAAGTTTCAAAGCCGATCTTGATCTCGGAATACATTGAGAAAGTGTTGTTGGTTTCAGCTCAATTTTTGGAACATGTCAGGTAAGTCAGAAGATTTTCAGGTATTAATATGTGATAGCAAATGTTTTTAACCAATTCGTAGAGACGCTTCGCTATTCTGTTATTTTATGACGTACTTTTTGTTCTTCAGAGCCAAGTTGTGAGCGCGATTTGTCTGTTTACAATGTTAATCAAATTGTGCCATTTATGGATTTCTAACAAATTGTTTTCTCAAGTCTTCTTCATGATCAAAATAGAGTTAGTTGACCAAAACAAGAGTCGGTTAGACATGAGTTAAGTTCACTGTTTAAAAAGCAGGACTGAAGAAGTCGAGGGTGAAGAAGTGTCTAATGCAGAAATAAGGGTTTATGTCCAAGAGGCAATGACCATTTACTAAACTGGCACTTGTTCGGCAGCGATAAGAGTACGTTCCAATAATACGTACATTTCGCAGATCAGGGCCAATGAAAATCAAAGACTGTCAAACAACAATGATGAGAACAAACTTTTCATGCCGCAGGACAGTACCAACAGTGTAACAGTTCAAGACTGGTAAATATATCTGAAACCTTTGAGCGTGTTTTCCCATACGCCGTTAAGGGCTACATGTTGAGTTACAAGCCCGTTTTCATAAATATTATTAACATTTATTTTCCTTCTTTCGGTGCAAGGGCTTGTACGCCTTAGTGCGAGAGTAACTGGAAAAAAAGCCCATAACGCTGATAATTAATTTTTGAGCAGGATCTGGACCACGAAAATGATTATTTAACCGTTCTTCAAACTCCTCTCCTCGAACTTTAATTTTGGCTTTACATTCGGCCGTGTTGTGTCTTCTTTCGTGCTCGAACGATACAAATCCATCTGCCATATTTTCTGCTACACATAAGCGTGACCATCATAGGAGAGCCTGATTAATTTTTTGCCACCGATGGCACTTCATATCATGTACCTTCATACATCCCCTTCCCCCATGAAATGTGACTATAGTGTGTTAAGCGTTCTGCAGCTACAGAGTTCCTCTCGCATTGTACTTATACTGCACAGGATTTGCCTTCGGCTTTTCTTCTTCCCTTAGATCCGCGTCGTTCCATGTTGTCAAGATCGAGGCTTGGTTCTCCCTTGGCAGACTGCTTTACCAGTTTCTGTGTCACATAATGCCCTACATTTCCAAGGTACGGTATATCTCTGAACCTTTCCTCCGTTAAGCTGGCTGCAAACGGCCAGCTTCGATCCGGGAACTACAATGCAGATCTTTTTAACTTTCCCTATGGACAAGCTACATACGGACTGTTACTATAATGCGGACTGTTCGACTGTGCTGTTCCAGTTTCATTGGCGGTTTGGGTTTTTTTTCTCCCATATTGTTGTTCATCAGATTTCGATAATTAATTGTGAAATATGCTCATTCTGTTTATGCCACTGAAAATACAGCGTAATTCTAGCTACCGCCATTGGCAGATGATGTGTTGATACCAATGGGCCAAACTATAAAAGATGACTGTTTAGCCCTATGCGCTGTGATTGAAACTGAATAGTTAGAAACAGTGCTAGTGTGGGTTAGTTTACACTACACTTTTGTGATGCAGCGTTCTGTTCTTTGGGTTACCAACATGTACAGAAGCAGTAGAGCCGCACTCTCACTGCCTTCATTATTACGTATCGCTTAGACAGTTCGTTCCACAGGTCAAGAAGCATTTTCATTCTAGTTTTGCATATGACAAATATACCGTTCTAAGTAGATTTTGAACTTCATGGCCTTTGTCTCTTCACCTGCCTTGGTGAGGGCGACAACTCAGCTGTTTGTTGGAAAGAACAGGATTCCTACTTGGGCTCCTTTCAACCACTGGCAAAAACAACATCATCAGAGGAAGAGTTATAGATGCTCCTGTACAGGTCTGCAAATGCTTAAACAGCGACTTGGGAAAACTGTCGTCTGTATGGAGAACAACAGCAGTTAACACGACAGACCCAAGCGGAAAAAATCCCAGCCGATACTAATTTCCGACAGGAATTGTGATGAAGAGCTATTATCATAATGTTAACACCGTGAGCAGGAGACTGGCCCCTTTTAGAAACAGAAACACTATACCAACGACCTCAATAGATTATAGCCACAGATGGACAAAACCAAACATCGGTATCGGGAAGATCAAGAGGGGGTTAAGCCAAATTGTCTATTCTATGGACAGAATGAATCTTGACCGATATCACACCTGATCAAATCTGTAGTTGTGAGTAAATCTGTCTAGCTGAATTAGTGCTAGTTAATGAATGGATTAAAGAATTAACATGAATGCATCGTTACCGTGTGACAATCGGGAAATGCATGTCGGCCGGCGTTAGTTCGCATGTGAACGTCTTGTCCCTTGTCGTCATGTGCCTTTCTACCATCCGCCTGTGCCCTTAATACCCGTCAATAGCAATCTGAAGTAGATACCGGTCACGGATGAATTACTCATCAATACATTCGCCGGTTATCTTTAAAAAATACAATAAACAACAAATTGTTTTGATAAAAAATACATGCACACATTTCAGGACTTTATTAGAAGTTACATAGCGCATGCATACAGCAGATCGGCCGACCGTCGACCAGGCGATCGTTGACATGAACGACGAAAGTCAGCGAACTCGTTGCGTCAAAGTCAGCGGTCCAGTCTCTCGGTCGAGTCGCTATAGTAGCCCTCTTCCATGCAGGACACGACGTACGACGTCAGCTTCTCCCAGGCGGTCTTGCGGATCACCTTTGCGGCGTCATCGACGTCCAGCGACTCGGCGTCCTTCATCAGCGCCTTGACGGCGGCAACGACGAATATCTGCCAGTGGGTTGGTCGAAAGCCAATCTTCGAGAAGGCACGGTGCTTGAAACCGATGCCGCGAAGCAAGTCGCGAAGCTCGGTGTCCGAAGCCTTGTACTTGGCGTTCTCGAAGTGATCCAGCGCATGGCTGAGCACCTGGACGAAGCGAAGCGCCTGCCGGCGGAACTCGTGACTCTCTTGCCACTCCTTGTTCTCTCGGTCGCACTGCAGCACGTACGGAAAGAACGACTTGACGCGGGGACACATTTCGAATACCACGGTGTAAATCTCCTTGCCGATGTTATACAACCAGTCAAAGTCGTCCTTCCGCCATTGCTTCGTCAGCAGCACCACCTCGCTCTTCGACAAACACATCTTATTGCTCTAAAAATACAGCCAGGTAATTACTGAGTTCGCCTGACTGGTACTGTTTCGTAATATTCAGCACAGTTATGTTTTATTATTTATGTATTCATCTGAGCAACAGCAACTTCTTCCGCTAAACACACTCCCAATGCAACATCAAACGTCAGGTGGTTCGAAGGAAGGGCAATTATCGATTCCACGCGCAAAGGTAGCGATCGCCATGACGGAAGGCTAATCTTCAAATGCTCGTTGGACACTTGGTGAAATCTGATTGGAAAAGTGAAGTCGGATTGCGAGCAAACGCATGTTTCTCATTGGATAAAAACGACATGGTAGCATGGATGAAATGCCGATACAAATGAACATCTGCATTTTCGTTGAACCGACTTTAAATCGGCCTGTCAGTCCTCTGTACGTGATGCCCCGGCTCAACGATTTGTCATGTCGACCCTTGATTCAAGTGTATGACTCAAACTCCCATTAAATTAAAATTCATTCACTAGAGTTGGACGGCGTCATCGCTTTGCAGCAGTTTCGCAAGGAGTCAACAAATAAACTGGAAAAAATATAGCCCATATTACTCAATTCAGAGAGCTGATCACAGGAATACTGTAACATCGTTATCGTTGAATCGAGCTATACACGTACAAGAAGTGGAAAGTTATGATATTCTGCGCGTAAAGAAGTTTCGAGTGATTTATAACATGAAGAATTAAATCAAGTAATTGATACAGATGACCATCTGCCAATGATATAAACTCAAACCCCCCAACCGAAACTGCGCACTGGCATCGCATGGTCATCACAATGGAATCGTAATAAGAAATTCGTCAGTTTGACAACGCCATCGTACTTTAATCACACAGTGCCATCCAATGAGGTATGATATGACGTATGTTCGAATCATGCAGCCGATGCAGCTGACCACCATCCAGTTATACAGATTCAACGAGGCGACTGCAGGACCAAGCGCTGAGACCGACTAACGGTCTGCGATTAAACCTCATTGATCGTTTCGAGCAGCGGTGTCTGCGCAGCACTCTGAAACTACGATGGTTCTATCGAACGAAGAAAGAAAAGGTCTCGCAGATGACCGTCCAGAGAATACTGTATGAAGAAATCAGGAATAGGCGTCTGCTATGGTTTGACGGGACCATCCGAAGAACTATCCAAAACCATCTTTCTTCGGGAAGCAGAAAAAACCCGCAGGCGAGTCACAGAGGAATACGTCGCAACGTCAAGTAGCTGCCAGAAGCAGACTGGCCTGCGACGAGGAACATGACGTTAGCCACAGCAACCAACATAGCCGAACTCATTTTGAAAAGGGAAAGCGTCAGAGATCAGTATCTGAGTACTCGGCCACTGATTGTGATACCTCAGACATTGGCGATGATAACAACAATAACAACAACCCAAAATATCGAATTTAACAGTTTTAATAAATCTCTCATTGCAAACTTTCTTATCTTCACCGATAGCACCACAGATTTCATTTATTACAAAGGTGAGAAAGCATCCATCTCTCTCACATACGATGCTTCATCGCCAAAACATGCTGGGACTCGTTTATCAAAAGACCGCGACTTGGCTGGTTCTTGTCAATCACAGACACACTCGTCTCACTGAAAGAATGTTCCTCACAAACAGCTGCTCTACCAGACTAATGAGCCTGTCTGAAGTTGATTACAGATAAGTTTACCATAATCCACATATTCAAGTTTCGATAGGCCATTTCTAGGTATATTCTGTCGCCGTCTCTGCACATCGACCTTGAAAACACAGCTAGCAACGTCTCCTTCGGATTGTTTGGGATGTGCCTTTTGAATGAATGCATGGCCGGATTCAAGTCAATCATACAGCAGACTTAGTGTGTCATTTTAGTATGTTAAGGTAATCATCTGATTAGCTCCAATACCGTGCCATTGCATCATTTCCTTATGCAAAACTACCATTTGTATTCATGAAGTTGCAGGTGGCGTGTAGAAGTTCAGTGTCGAATGTCAACTCCTAGAATACCATTTTCCTGAATATACGGTAAAGGCATCGAATTTACGCGTCCAGAGCGGGAACGGTGTTGCAGGCTTTTCTGCTCGCCTAAATACATGATTCTCACGATGTTTCTGAAGAGAACAGGTAAGACACGAGACTTTGAGTGCAAATATCTGGCCGACTGAGGCGGTCTCTAAAAAACGAAAACCTGGAATCTGAGGTGATGGCGTACTTCCTGGCAACAAGCCGCTTCTGAGAGGCATTCTTCAGTTGCCAGTCATTGTAAAAGTGAGACGCTTCAGACAGGAGTGCAGTTCTGCTGTACAACCCAGTTTAATGGCTACCATGCGTTTTCACTTGACAATTTTCGCCGTGTTAGAAGTTAAAGGATGCAACGAATACTTTTCCTCCATTGTGACAAATGATAGATGGATACTCTCATGAAGTAGTAAGAGAGCTTGCAATGACGTAACAACTATTTCAAGAGGTTTACAACAACGAAGTAACGAATGGAGTACGAAAAAGAAATGACGTCACTGAGTCAACGAATTCGCCTATTTAGCTGGAATGGACAACAAAGTTACGTAATCATTCGGCTATGCACGTCTTCCGCAATCTCTACCAAAGTTCTGGTGGGAAGCAGCGCAATCATTTTCGACGTTGACTGACTCATTTCATTGCATGCTAATGCAAAGCCACCTATTCATTGAATCGAACGCGATTGGCTCTTTGACTGCTTACCGAAAATATGAAAAGAGCCTTCACTATTGCTCAAAAAAGTCATTTTCTGTTCTTCTCCACACAGACTCGACAACTACCGAAGTAAGCGATTTCTCGGCAGAATGAAGTACGGTTGGGTCTATTCTCCTTCGGCCTTTATAATTACTGTAAAAGCTTGTCGCGAACCATGGAACGGGCAGCAAACGAGGCTAGTGTTAAAGGACGAGTATAGAATTCTCACTTGTGGTCATGTCGATCCAGTGGCCTGAAAGAAGTTGCCACTGTTCAGCCGACTGGAAAATGAGCTCTTTCCGTAGAAGCCGGTGGCAGTGCCTGACTCATGAGCAGACACCTGCTCCACTGAGTATCGGAGTAACGTGAACACTGTATGTCTCTCTTACTCCAAGGATAAGTAGTAAAAAAAAATAACCAAAATGAAGAAATATGAAGTTAAAATTTGCTAGCAAACCCGATTTCCTGTTTTGAACATGCCCACGGGATGAAGTATATTCGTTAGTGTTCTATTACGTGTTTGTTTGTTCATATCGCGTGACAAAATACTATGCAGCCGTGATTCGTTGAAAGGATGTCCTAGGCTAACAGAAGCAGGGAAATGGTGCGCTTCGTGGGTTTGCAAAACATGGAAACTTGATAGGAAAGTTAACTGAATGTACTGCATTAGAGTTTTAACCCTGGCTCGTAAATCGTCGTGGGCCTAGGGATATTTTTCTGCTCGGCACCACGGTCAACACGATGATATCGTTCCTATGCAAAAGATACAGCTTATACCGAATAGCCTATGCAACTGTATCCGTACCGGCAAAGTGAGAGGCACGTTCAAGAGACCGGGAGAGGGGTCCGAGTCGTCTCCTCGCTATTACGCATGATTTTTCAGCAATAGCATTTAGTTGCCTGGCTCCACTAGGGGAAGGGTAGCCCTTCCCTCTACGAAGGTAGCGAAACGATTCATCATTACGCAGAGGTATGAGTTCGACCATAAATTGTGGAACAAAGCTTTAGCTAACACATAAGCCTTCGAATAGGGCATTCATGGTCGCGATGTGCTCGACTGAAACAGGCAGAATCCCGCAAAGACACCTGACGACGTGCTAACAATTGGCAATAACACCAAAACTCGCATGTTGTGTTGTCTGTCTGTTTGATGTGCCCTGACGAAGCCATCCCTCAGAAACTTTTCTTACTACGCCTTGCAACTGGCAACCTGTAGCTCGTGCCATCTTCGTTTATGGCTACGGTTAAAGGTTGGACAGAATAACTGCCATAGCAGATCCTGGGTGGACATATACCTTACCCATACCTACGTTCGCTTACTTCCATGACATCACGTGGTTCCTGGAATGACATCCGGTGGATGCAAATCATTCTCTCAGTGTAGCGGTAGCTACGACAAGGTTACGAATATCAGTCCGCTCGTCTGTCCACTTATTCATTGGGGCGTTTATTTATTAATTAATTCTCCTATTTAGCCATTCATTAATTAATATATTGATTCGTTGTATCATTCATTCCTGAGTTCAGTTACAGGTGGTTCACCGGTCCGTCCAGTGGCAAGCCCCAAGATCTTGATTTGAAGATTCAAGAAAGATAAAATCCTGTAAGATCGGGCGTCCGGCGCTCGGACTGTTTCACATCATCTTCGATATGGCTTCGCCAGCAAAGTCCATGCTAGTCTTTTCCATGGCACCTTTATCATATGCTCAAGTGATCGCAAATCATTCTCTCATATCAGCTGTCCTTCAAAAGCGCAGGACTACGAACAAAACCATTTTGACGAATAAGAAAATCAGATCAACCGTAACTCCACATATAACTGAATTTTCCTAAAATCATATGATAAATCGAACAGTTCTCCTTGTAGCAGAACTTGTGGCCGGTAGCCGACTGCTAAAACATAAAACGCACGTGCATTGCGTTTGTGGAATAAAAATCGATTCAACGAACCTTATCACCACATGTAGCTAAGTTGAACACGAACCACCGGATTCACCCTGTTACTGTGCTGGTCAGTTGTGGCGAGGACGGAGTTACAAACAGTGCAGAGGACGAAGGTGAGGTGTTTATCGAAGACCAGGCGATGGACCGGCTACTAATAGTTGCCAGAAACGAGGAAAACGAAGAAAAATAGAGTTTCAAGAAGTTGGAAATGTTTTGTTGCAACAACGCAGCACTTATGAAGAATAAATTTTAAACTCTGCTAAAGACCGGTCATCGAACGCAGTCTAACATGAAAACAAAAACCTGCCTGGCTTCAAGACTGAGGAGGAAACTGCACGCAAGTG